CATTTTTCAAACTGTTGCCAAAATATATTACAGCCCTGTATTAAGCTTGGAGAAATTAAATAATGAAGAATCTGCATAAATGTATGTATGTTTCTCGCATTGGGACCAAACAAGGGTACCTAGAGCCATCCAATTTTGAATATCGTAATCCTCCACCGAATATGGGCATCTCGAAGCCCTAATTCGGAATTTGTTTTATTACCTGTTTCATATATTATCAGTCATTAAAGAATTTTTGATTAACAAACTCAACGATTTCAAAGCTAGGAATGGCAACACTCTACGGGAGAAAAAAAAATAAGAATAAAAAAATAAATCTCCAGTGCGCGCGACACTGTGCATCGGAAATTCTAAGGATATGCTCATTTCAAAATTATTTTGCGATATTGCTATTAAATTGAATTTTATGGTTTAATTCGAAGAACATGATATTTAATAAATAAAGGTAACATACAAAACGTTAGAAAAGCGCTGCCTTGAGCTTAAAGTAAAATCTGAAAGCTTTCAGATTTTTTTAAAAATTTTATTATTATTATTATTTTACTTTTGCAAACATAAACAAATTTTCAGAACCAAAAACACAGACTCTAACTACATAAAAGTTCGATTTTAATTCATGTGATGGGCATGATGTACTGATGTAAATTTTTTTTTATATTTGGCGTAAATTTGCTTAATTTGATTTTTAAATCACCTCATTTAAAAATATTGCTTTTTATTGTGTTTTTGCTTTTACGTGTTACTTTTTGTATTGCACTTATTGCATAAAAAATTTATACAGTTAGAAAAATATATGTTCTTGTTTTTTTAAATACATCAAAATAGTTTAGTGTTTTCTCCCTCATAATTTATTTATAATTTCTTCCTCATTATATGATACAGCTCTTTATATCAATAAACAATCCATTATCAGTTTCATTAAAAAATTTTTATAATCAATGGGACCTTGAGTATGTCGATAAATGTCCAGCGCATATTCTGCTATCGATCCCCAGAGAACCCCTTGGTCATCATTGACACCTTTAAAATTTTGTCGACTAATATTAAATTATTTCACACACTTAATGATTTCTATCGGTTTTGAGTTATGAACTTGTGTACAAAGTATTTTCGTGAAGTTTAAATAAGTCTTGGTCTAGAAACGAATTAATCCATTTTACATATAAATCATATGGGAAAATTGTTTCGTTTTACTAAAATTTTTCTGATGAATGGACTTCAGGAACGAATTAAGTTCCGAGGATTCACTGTATTTTTTTTAAATAAATAAATAAAAAGTATTTCTGTACGGGCTGGCTGCATGGGCGTTTTCGTGGTTTTCCCCATGTGCAACGTGTATACGAGCCAGTTTTCCTTAGAAAGCCCTCCACGAAGGCATCCCTCCCTTTAGGCAGATAGAACTCGTGTGCTTTGCCATAATTGAATAATCCAATCCAATCTTTTTAGATATTTTAGGAGAAATGTTGGTCCCTTTCAGATCTGGTCTTCATAACGAGACGATCGTTTCGAGAAATATGTTCCCTGCCTGCTTTTATTACATATAATTTTGCATTATACTAAATAATACATAAATTCGGATGAAAGTTGCCGTTTATTTCTGAATCTAAAAAACAAGTTTTTAAATTTTTCCTTGGGATTGAATTTTCTTGTTATCTAAAACTACGGATTAGAAATGGATTCGGAAACTACGGATTAGAAAACCGGTTCCATTAAAAATGTTTGTGTTTTTCAAGCACTTCTTTCCTAGCGATAATAATTTGCTACTTTAGCATATTTTATATTTTTCTCTTATTTTAATATTCCAATTTCCGACTTATTAATTTATAAAATCTCTCATTATAAAGTCAGTTATAATTATGTTTATGGAAAGTAAGCATTAATCTCAATTTTAAGAGTCAGATGGAAGCTTGCTAATAAATTTATGCAAGTTCAAAAAAGTTATATAGAGAAAATGTCATACATGTCTATGACATATTCTTTATATACCTTTTTATTCAAAAACGGAATAAAAAGCCTAACTCTGTTGATATTATCAGTCAGAACACATTTAAGGCTGACTGAAAATACTGCCGTAATCTAAATTAAAATAATTCACTGGTATATTAGATGCGTCATTAAAACATATTACACAGATTTTTAGTATTGTCAAATAAAGCTTTATTCGGGGAAATATAATACTCGAAGTTCGTATAGAGAAATCAATACCTGAAACATAAAAGAAGTACACTGATATAAAGTTTTAAAGAGTATTTTTTCAGTTTGGGGAAATCTGCAATGAATTTCCATTATGATATCACCCCTTACGACAGGAGTTAGCAAAGTATCAACAACTCTCATCTTAGATCTAGTTGACAATGCAGACGAATTTAAAGCGTCAACTATCGGTCTTGCACAATCGTCAATGTTGATTCTGATACACTCAGCTAAAAAACTAAACAGCAAACACTAGAAGAAAATGTACGAATGTAAAAAGAGGAATTAAAACATACGATTTACCCGTGAGGTTGCATCGCCGAATGCAAATAGACAACCAATATCAGCATAAACCGCAAAGCAGGAGTCAATGACAGCATTTACACGATGCATTGCGTTGAAGGGCTGCCGGGAATTTGCAAGCTGGTGCAAGACAATCCGTGCTGCGAGAGAGCTGAATATGCATCGTAGTGTCATGAATAGGCCATGGAATCTTTACCAAAGGGATAAAAAAAAAAAAAAAAAAAAAAAAAAAAAAAAAAAAAAAACCTGAATTTCTAGATTACAACAACGGCAGACGATCGCTTACTATTGCTCTGTGAAAGATGCCGTAGATCACTAGGAGCACAATACCTGACATCGCATGTCTCTGCTGCTGCAAGACGGCCCATAACCGTCAAACTGTGTCGCCTCATTGTATGAAGGTGAACTATACACTCGACGACCTGTGGTTTGTGCTTCTTTGTCCCCGAAGCAGGTTAGTGTGAGGCTGAATTGGGCCCGTGAACATCGCAGTTTGACACCAGAGAAGTGGGGTCATGTACTCGTTACGAATGTGTCTCAATTTAGCATCCAAAATGATTTTTTAAAGAGAAATGAAATGGCGAGAGCCAGGGACGTGCTATCCGGCGCCAGACATCGTCGAAAGAGACAATTACAGAGGTGGAGGCTTACTTGTATGAGCAGGGATAACAACGAGCGGTCAAATCGACCTCTAACTAATTCCTGCTGTTCCATTACAACCATCTGATTTCGAGACGAAATTCTATACCCTCTTGTGCGTCCTTTTATCTCTGCAATGGGTATTGATGCGGTATTTATAGATGATAATGTGCGCATAGACCTCGAGTAGTGCGGAGTAATCTTAAGAGTGACACCATTTCACATCTGCCATGACATGCTAGATCACCGGACATGAGTACTATAGAGCATATATGGGACATGTTGGAATGATGGATTGCAGGTCGCAGTGTGCCACCAGACACCATCCACGAGCTCTGACATGCATTACTAGGGAATGACATGCATTACTAGGCTACTGCCCCAACAAAAGATCAGCGACACTATTGCCAGCTTGCCTCACAGTCGTCAAGCATGCATTTCAGCTAGAGGGTATCATAGCCGTTATTAGCATCATGTTTCCATTGCACATTCTTCTGATCCATTTGGTCTTTCGCGATGTGTCCATTTGGTTTTTCACGATCGTAAATACATGTGTTTTAGTACGTCTTTGCTTAATTTTTGTGACATGTTTTTGCCAAAACAATCTCTTGGATCTATTTTAGGCGTATCCATTGAATATTTTTGTTTTATTTGTGTTTTACCTTTCTTGCTTATTTTTTGGTCAGGAGTGTAATTTTCTTTGGAAGTTGCTTCTTCTAATTAACATAAAACGCCTTGTTAATAAATTTATAAACATATTACGCTAAAAAACACCAAATCGCTTGAAAATTCAGAGTTATAACGCAATTCATTTGCTGAATAGTAGCATATACCAACGAAACAGGATGCATATCAAGCTGGACGTACAAGTATACCTATGTACAATTGTAAATGTAAAATTCTTTTGCCTAATGACACATATAATTGGCTTTAATTGTACAAAAGTGATGGGAAATTTTTCCACGAAGTCCGTTTTTCTTGAGAGGTCAATCGTAAACAATTGTGCCCATTTCTTCTTATGGTTATATAAAACTTTAGGATATTTTGGCTTAATCGACATTCTTCCAATAAATCATTCATTCAGGTGATCCTATAAAAAATACAAAATTAAGTTATATTGGTAAACGAAATTTGATGGGTTGAGAGATCTAACATCCAATTATTTTTAATTTCCGTGCTTGATACATTACTACATTGAAAAAGATGTTAAATTTACTTTATAATATGGAAAATTTTTTCAATTTTTAAATTTTTTATCTTAATATATAATAATTCTGAAATTTCATATGTATGATATGAGCGTAGTACTTTGTGAGTTTGTTTCTTACGGTATGCCTGCTTGTATTAAAATTTCAATTATTCCATTCATTTGAAACACAATTTAATGTCGATGTCGAAAAAAATTTATACATGACTGTTATTATCTGAGAAATAAATAAATTTAATCGGTAGAAATATTTCAAGTAACTTCGAAATGAATATTGATTAGAAAAAGAAGCACTGTATTCGATTTCAAGTTTCAACAGTCTAATCCTCAGGAATTTAAATCAACCATCATTAGTTCATAGTCATAATCTTTTGATTCTAATTTCCAAAAGCAACGCTTTTTAAGTCATTATTATAGATATTTGTTAAATCATAAGAGATCCATGTTTTTTTACTTTTCCAAACATTGAATCCGTAAATCTGTGTGCAGAGGTAAGTGAAGATTGTGTAATTTTCCTTCTTTAGTAACAACTTCTGCTGCCCTTAGATGAAGGTTGATATGGGAGAAATCATATAAAAGGTCATTAAAGAATTAAACAAAGCAAAGCCAGGTAAGAACAGACGTAACACTTATTCAATAACACAAATGAAAAAGTGACTCAACCACCTCTCGGCTGTTCCGTTAACTTCAGAAGGCTGGCGGCCTGTAGAACTGTGGAATACGGGAAGTGAAGTGTGGTGTTTATTTATTTTATGTTTAACAGCTTTAGGCGATTTACAGAATTTGTTGACCTGTGTGCGTAACCTTGTATTATTGAAAAGCTACAGTCAAGTGTAAGTAATCTGGATTTTAGATAGTCGTAGAGTTTAGACGTTCACCAAGTTATTTTATTCTTCAGAAAAGTGTATTGCTTGTGTACACGAAGGGTAAGTTCGCAAAAATTCAGTATGTGACATTTCACAGCTGATTTTTACTTCTTTGCGAAAATCAGCATATTTATTTTAGTACTATATGGGAGAAATCAAATTATCATGAATACGTCATCAATAATTTAGATGTGAGAGTTTAAATAAGAAGCAGATATCTGTTTGATACATTAGCGAACGTGAAGTGAAATGTTGTGTTTGCTTGATTTTGATGATTTTGTTCAGATGCAGTATAACTTACTGTGCTATAGATTCTTTTGCAGTTAATAGCATCATATTTCCCATTGTATTATAGTCATCTAGTTATTTTTTTAATGTATCTCTGAATGAAAAGTGAAACTTCTTTAATGTTGAATATTCGAAAAAGCGAAATTGAGTAATGTGGATGAATTCTGCTACCGACATGGAAAACCTAATAATGTGTCAAATGTTGTGCGAGTAGTATAGAAATCCTTTTTTAGTTGATTTATCATCATTTGATGTAGTTTCCTATTTGGATTTCGCACTGTTAAATCACCTTTTATTTGAGATAAATGTTTCCCATTTTTCAAATTTACATGCATACGATTCTTATTTCATTTTTGTCTTGAGAATTTATCATTTATTTGATTGGAAAATTATGCAGTTATTTTAAAACGAAGATATTATAAATTGCACTTCTTGTGCTGCAAATATAACCTGTTCCAGTTAAAAGCTTTCCCTCCAAAAATGCGATCTTGTTTGTGTTTCATTTTTCACTAATGAATATTCTGTGGTCAAAATGGAAATCACAAAATAGAAAATAAATTATCATGCAGAATATATATATATATAAACAGTTCTAATGTAGCATATGCAAATTTGCACTATAAGTATTAGATTGTGATATTATAGGATTATTAAACATTTTTAAATAAGATGCACACAACCTGTTATTTTCTCTTGAATCCTAATTTTTATTGGAAAGATGTTGGGGAAAGTGCAGAATCACCCACTGCTTAGTGCATTTTTAAGAACTGCACATACGTGGTATCCCATGTACACATCAACCTATTTTCGCTTAAAAAAAAACATTCCAGAATTGCACAAAAATGCCATTGTGCACTCCCTTGGCTTTATCCATGTACACATCAACCTATTTTCATTTAAAAAGTCAAAGAAATCTGAAAAATTCTTCTTACTCTTGTAAAAAGCGCCAAACAAATAAGTGTGCGATTCTGCACTTTACCCAAGATATTTTCTGTCCAGAACAACAGATGTTTTCTGTCCAGCGTATTATACATTTTATTATATTGTATAGTAAAATGAGATCTAGTTCATGAATGATTTATAATGACATATAATATATTTAAAACGAATGAATGTGTAACCAGAAAAAAAAAGGATTTGGGGGAGGGAGAAAATTTAATAATATATTTTTTAAACTAAGAAATAATTTGCTGTGAATTTACTTTGAAAAAGAGCCATTTGAAAGAAGTTATCATTTTAATCATTTTGACATATACATTGAATGTCACTCAACCACCTCTTGGCTACTTTGTTACTTTTGTTGGATTATATTTAATTTTGTTATTATTACAAATTTGGGCACTTTTCTGTTATTGGAAATGAATTTAGAAATATATGCATATATGTATGTGTGCAAATAAGTATGTACATATGTAATGCATGTGTATGTTTGCATATACATACATTTCTGAATCTGTGTTGTATAACAGAAAAACATCTGAGTTTGAAATATATTATACTTTTCAATTATCGACACCCTCGATTTAAACATTTAATAGAACTGCTGAGTTTTTGGTATATTTTCAAGCATATATGTGACACACAGTTAGCCTTATGTATGCATGTCATGTGTTTGAATGCATTTGGATTTACTCTCTTTATATTTTAACCATCATTGCACTGGTCTTAAAAAAGTAAATATTAACAGTATAATTTTTTGGTACTGTTCTATTATCAGTGACGGATTCAAAAATTATGTAGGTATGTATGTATGCAAGTATTTATGTATGTATTTAAGTGCATATATTTATATGTAAGATATAGCAAAATATGATGGGTACTTTAAGAAATGATTGGCGACGTCAAAATTAACTATTCCAGATTTTATGTTCTTTCCCTCTAAAGTCATATGTTTTCCCAAATTTGGGATCTTTCCATGTTACATAACAACCTAAAATTAATCAATCATAGCTTAGAGTACTTTCTGCATATACTCATTATAAATACCACTTGAAAGTAACTACGTCATCTTGCTTTCCCTAATCTCTGCTTTGCCAATACCGCACTGCTTTGCCTTGCTAAAAATGCTTATGTCAGTGTACAAAAATATTATTGTATTTAACTATGATCTGATAAAAGGCTTTGTGTACCAAAAGTGAGTTGATGTGAATTATCATGGAATAAAGTTGTGTATGGAAAAGGCCACAGCTGGAAGTTACTGGTTTATGCATCATTCTAACTAACTGTGCATCGAAAATACTACAGCTTTAATGAAGTCTGATAGAAGGACTCTGGTGAAAGTTCCCCAATGGTTTTTCAAAGTTTGCTATCAAATGACTGCAAAAACAAAAATTAAAAAAAGATTTATCGTGATGTGTTGAAGGTCATCGATCGAAGGAGTGAGTGCTGTGTTTTCTTTCCTCGCCAGTTAGACAACATGAGGTTTTTGCAATGAAAACTCCAAAGGATACTCTGCTGCAAATCTACTGCTGTTTTTCTGTGTTTAATGCTGATCTCAGCTTAGTGATCAGGGAAAAATAGTGATGTGTTTATGCACGTCAGCGATTTTATATGTTTTTGTGTGTTATGTGCATTTAGTGAAAAGTGTGCCATCGAGTGTTCAAGCATGTGATTAGTGAAAAGTGTATCATGATTTAGTGCTTCTAAAAATTGGTTATTCAGTAAAAAGTGATTTAATGTTATGTTAGTTTAGGCAAAAAAGTAAAAACAGAAATTAGGAATGCCAACGACTAGGTCGCAATCAATATCAAATTAAGACAAAGCTGACATTGCTGTTATCAGTATGGATAAATTTCAGTCAGCCATATTTGATGATTCAAATAGTGACATTCCTATAGATAAATATATTTAGTGTTTGAGAAAAAAATGTGTAAGTAAAAATATTATTGACACTGATAAGGTCATTGGTGTTTTTTGAATGCTTTAAGAGGCGAAGGGTTAGAGTTTTATCTTAGGGAATGTGTTGATTTAGATTGGAAAGGTGTAAAAGATAAATTTCTTACCTACTTTTTAACAGCAGAAACTGTTACTTTTAGAGGTTTGGTAGATATTACTTACTCTAAATTCAATGACATCGATAAATATTCCCAACAAAAGTTTAAATTTGCAGCAAATTTAAAATTCAGTGATCAAGTTACAATTGATGCATTGAATTAAGGTCTTACAGAGCAACAGAAAATGTTACTAACTGTACAAACGTGGGTACATTACAGGAATGAATATCTTGGGCTAGAAAACTGAGCTAATCTTTGGAATATGGTAACAGGTAGTTTGGCAACATTTTGGTAAGGCGATAAAGGTTACTAGCGAGGACTTTAGCAGTATACATCTATCTGGAGGTCTTTCTGGGATCAAAGTAATTAAATTACCATGCAAAATACTAGACTTACTAATGATATAGTATTTTATGTTGTGAATTCTAATCTGACATATTTATTATTATCATTATCTTATGTTTCTTTATTTAAATTGCAATTGAATTTTAATAATTATGAAGTATATCAGTTTAAACGTGTCATAAGTAAAAGTATTCAATTAGATAAACTTTTTCAAAATAATTTTGTAAGTAAAAACAGTGCAAGTAGTAAGAAATTTGACAATTATGCTGACAATTGTGAAATTTGTGATGATCAAATTTTTAAGTAACTATAATCATATAATTGTTAAAAACAAATATTGTGTGGGTTGTATCAATATTGAACCTCCACAAGTAGTTTTATATTCAGAGTTACCTATAGCCTCTTGATCCTATTGATCCTCTCCTAAACATAATAGTGAAATTAAGAAGCAAATGGATGAATTATTAAATGCTGGTATAATAAAACCTTACTTCAGTCTTTACCTGTAACTTTAGCTTAAAAACCAGATGGTGCATTGACTATCGGAAACTTAATCAAATTACTAAAACAGATTCTGAACCTATCCCTACAATTGATGCTGTGTTAGATCCATTAATGAATACAAAAATTTTTTCCACATTGGACTTAGAATCAAGTTATTGGCATATAAAAAAGATACTGAAAAAATGTCATTTACAACAAATTTTGGCATTTATGAGTTCAATTGAATACCTTTTGGTTGGAAAAATTTCCCAGCTGTTTTTCTAAGAGCTCTTGGACAAATTTTAAACAAATATCAGTTCAGTTTGCTGTAAATTATTTTGATGACTATAGTATTTTCTCCAAATTTTGCTGAAAATCCTAAAATCATATTTGACATATGTAAAAAAGAGAATATAAAGTTAAAACAATCTAAGTGTAACTTTGCTAAAGAAATAAATTTTCTCTAGGATATGATGTTCAAGCAAGAAGATATTAGCCTAGTAATGCAAATAGTATTGAAGTTATTCAAGAAACATTACAATCCCCTAAAAATGTAAAGAACTACAGATATTTTTAGCAAGTATAAACATGTACCATAAATTTATTTAAAATTATGCAAAGAGAAGAGCCCCTTTAACAAATTTACTTAAAAAAGATACTCCATATAAATGGACTACCGAATGTCAAATAGCTTTTCAAAATTTAAAAGATGCATTATTTTCAAGACCCTTTTTAACTTTGTTTAATCCAAAATATCCTTGTCGTGTATTTATGGAAGCATCTAAAGAAGCTGGTGGTGCAGTTTTAAAGCAAGAACACACAGACAGCAATATACTACATTCAATTGCTTTTCATTCTAGAAAATTAAGGTCTTACAAGCAAAATTATGCAATTACTGAATTAGAATGTTTAGCCATTATTGATGCGAGAGATAAATTTTATTATTATTTA